GGGAGGGGACGGGATTTCTGGGGGCAGCTGGTGTGTGGGGCACCCGTCCCCCCTCCTCTGCGCTCTCTCAGCGGTGCCGGTGCCACTTCCGCCCCCTTTCCTGGTCCCCAAGGCCACAGGTCTCCCTGTGACAGAGCAGGCCGCCGCGTGGGGCTGCGACGGACCGCTCACGACTCTTCTGGGAAATGGGGGAGGGAAGAAGGGGCTGAGGGGGACAGGCAGCGGGTGGTGATGGCGGGAAGCCTGCGGCCTGTGGGAGGGTGGCTGCGCCCCGGGGGCGAGGGGGTGTGGAAGCGTCTCGCGTGCGGCACTCCAGAGGAGACCTTTCTGTCCACAACGAGGCGGCTGGAGGTAAATGTCCTTGGGGCCTTCCTGCTGTCCCCCGAGCCCCTGCGTGCCCCTCCCTGCCGGGGTCAGCGTGCGCCCCTCACTCCTTGTCCTCTCTGTGGTGTTCGCAGATCCACTCATGGAGCTGGCGGAAGGGAAGAAGATCTCCTGCAATAAACTCCTCGCCTTCCTACTCTTCAGCTTCGTCTTCAGCTGCTGTCTCTTTGTTTCTTTTTATCAGTTCAGGACTTCTGTGCCAGAGTATCACAATTCCGGTCCCTTTGAGCAAATAGCCCACGATGGAAATGCCAGCACCGCACCAAGGGGTGACCGCAGGCTGACCATCCTGCTGTGGACTTGGCCCTTTGGGCAACACTTTGACTTCTTAAACTGCTCAGAGCTCTACGACATCCCCAACTGCCACTTCACCGTCGACCACAGCTGGTCCCAAAAGGCTGATGCTGTGATTATGCATCACAGGGATGTGTACCGGGACGTGGCGGGGCTGGCCCGGCTCCCCAGACTCCCGTCCCAGCTCTGGATCTGGTTCAACCTGGAGTCTCCAAGTCACTCTCCAAACTTAGGTGCCATGGACAACCTCTTCAACCTGACCATGTCCTACCGGAGAGACTCGGACATCTTCACCCCTTATGGGCAGCTGCAGCTCCTCAGCCAGCCCCAGCCCCTCAGCATCCCGCCCAAGACCAAGCTGGTGGCCTGGGTGGTCAGCAACTGGAAAGCTGACTCCCACCGGGTGAAGTACTACCAGGAGCTGAGGAAACACATCTCTGTGGACATCTACGGGAGGTATCACTTGCCCCTGTCCTGGGACAAGCTGCTTCCCACTCTATCCCAGTACAGCTTCTACCTGGCTTTCGAGAACTCACAGCATGAAGACTACATCACCGAGAAGCTCTGGAGGAACGCCTTGTCCTCTGGCACCGTCCCTGTCGTGTTGGGGCCTCCTCGAGAAAACTACGAGCGCTTCTTGCCCCCTGACTCCTTCATCCATGTCGATGACTTTGCCAGCGCTGAGGGCCTGGCGCGGTACCTGCGGGAGCTGAGCGAGGACCCTGAGAGATACCAGCGCTACTTCCAGTGGCGCAGGTGGTTGAAACCCGTGCTGGGGGGCGGCTGGGGCCCGCAGGTCTGCAGAGCTTGTCACTTCTTGCAGACGACGGAGACCAGGTACCGGGTTGTGCCCGATCTGTCCGAGTGGTTCGTGTAACTGCTGTTTGCTAAGCTCTCTGCTGCGCTGCAATCTTTTTGTCCTTGGTGACAGGTGGCAATTTCACGGGATGATTGAACTGGATGGAAATGGAGGGACAAGAGGAGCTTTGAAATGAACAAGGACCAGGAAGCAATTAGGTGTTTGCATGTCTTTGTCTTACTGGAGAATAGACCGTCAGATAGAGTAGTGCATTGGTTTTTTCGCTCTATTATTTTGCTCTATTTTTTTTTTTTTTATCTATTAATTACCTGAACAAGTTGTTACTCTGACTGCAGCTTGTTCTTGGGCGAAGTTCACCTTCAGCCTCTGCAAACAATTCTGGGTCAGCTGCACAGGTGGGAAAGCTGAAGCGAGCGGCCAAGAGGGGAAGGTAAAATAGCAACTCCTATCATAATCCTGTTCCAAGGACTTTGTACCGTGCAAAGCTGCAGCTTGAAGGGATGGCCACACCACGAGGCTGCCTGCTGCTGCTGGAGGAACCGGCTGTGCCCTTCCCTCCCAGCCCCGCAGCCCAGTCCTGCCCCTGCTGTGCCTTGGGCTCTCCGTGGCTGCCTTCGGGGTGCAGCGTGTGGATGTTAAACAAGCAGAAAATGACTCACTTGATGCTACGAGGCTGTTGTTTGGGCAGGTTAACGAGACAGTGTGGGTTTGAGGAAGGGCCTGACAGCAGCCAACTGGTGCAGGTGGGTGAGGTGTGGGGTGCCAAGGATGCCCTGGAGGAACCGTAAGTTTTAGTGCCTGCAGCACCCTACGTCAGAGAGAGGCTCAGGACCAGCACACGATGAGCTGCCTCCTCCTCTGCGCCTCGAACATCGCAACTTCTGGCGTTGGCTGACACCTCTAGGCCACACATTTGAAAAACAGAATGATTGGCCTTTACTGAGTTCCTGCCGCCGTTCAGGTTGTATCACTGGAAATTGTTTCCTTTTCAGGTAGGGGAGCCCCACTGCATGGAGTCGGCTCCACAGCTGTGCCCTCCCAGGCTCCCTGCCCGTACCTCTGGACATTCAGTTTGTTTTCCTGACTGGTCCTGATCTCTGAGCTGAGCTTTGCAAAGGTCTGTCCTGGCCCCAGGATATTTCCATGAGGAAAATCAGCTCAGAGTCCAGCAATGCACACAGAGATGCAATTGTTTTCTCTATCAGCAGCATTCAGCAAACATTTCCAAAGAATTCCCTCTGCATTTCCTCCCACGGTCATTCTGTAGCAGAAGAACCACCAGCCAGACCTTGCCTTTCAGCAAGTCCCTTATTTTCATCAGCAGCCTTCACCACCTTCATTTTTTCTCTGCTTAGCAGTTTAATTGAACACATTGATCAGCACAAACCCAAGAACAAATCCTTCACCCTGAAATCTGAACTTTTATCCCTCCCATCTTCTTCCTGTCCTTCAAACAGTACCTGTCTACATGGGATCTTCCCAAGACTGCTCAGATTCTGGAAGAGCCCTTACTGGACCTTCAGGAACCCCTCTGGAAATTCAGGTAGATAAATGTGCCACGTCTTCCTTAGCCATGTGCTTGCTGGCTGCTTCCAAGAAGAGCGATGAATTTGTGAGCCATCAGTTTTTGTTGCCAAATAATTGTCTACGCTTCTGCCTCGCCTTTGCCAGCAGACACACACATCTCCTCCGCTCGTGTGTCACTGGAGGGTGTTTGTTGTCACTTGAGTTGGGCTCAAGACTCCCATGGTCCTGTGGAAGGAAACACACCCTGGGCTCTTTGACGTTCTCCTTAATAAAAGCACAAGCAAGAATCAAATCTTATCACAACAGATGGAGTGGCAAATGACAAGCAGCAATGTCATTAACAAGGTTTAATTAGTTTGGCCCTTTTGCGTGCCTTTTTGAGTACGGGAGCATGTATAATGGATATCCATGTACACTGCAATTCAGGTGCCTCATGCTCTTAACTTCAACGTTATTTCATCTCCAAAGGTAGGAAGGAAACCTTCTTGTTTCTGAGGAAGGCACGGAGCCTTTTCTCATCCAGGAGCAACACCGCTGCCGCAGCCGAGCAAGGAAGGAGACGTGGCCAGGCACAGCCAGAGCTGTCGCTGTTTTACATCCCTCCCTTCGGCACGGATGGGAATGGCTGGGGGTTAAACTTCCTTCCAGCTGCCTCAGCCGAGCGATCCAGCGATGTTTCCATCCAGCATGAGACGTTCGGCAGGAGCGGAGTTGGGGAGCCCACCCGGATCAGCAGGACCAAGCGGGTCCTCGCTCAGGTTGGTTTGCAGAGGAGCTCAGGGCGAGGAGGCAACGTTGGACCATGAGCAGCTGAAATTACAGGTGTGCACCAGTCCAAAGAGCGACAAGACAAATTCCCAGAAGAAAACTTCACTAAGAGCCTTATAATGGGAAAACCTTCTCCCATCCATTGGTCTAGGACATCCCCAAGCTGCAAAAAAACCTGGGGAAGAAGCAGCTTCTCCAAATCCTGTAGAAGGAAGGCACGAAGCATGGTCGAAGCTGCCCGACCACCCCGGACTGGGATGCCTCGCCATGCAGGCGGACATGGCCGGAGCTGGCACTGGTGGTGTTTTCTGGGAATGACACCCTTTGGTGACGACGCACTCTGGGAACAAGGAAACGCCGATGTTTTTTTCACCATTGTGCTGGGAAGAGGCTGGATGGGGAAGGCCTCTGTGGTGTAGGGTTGGGAAGGGGTCTGGCTGCAGGGAAGAGGGGAAGGGGAGGGACTGGACCTAAAGTAAATGCTGGGGGTTTGTCAGGGGAGCACAAAATAAAATTAAATTTGGAAATTTTCAGTTGAGGTTAACCTGAAACATGTAAATCATGTGCCGAAGGGTGGGGAAGAGCTGGATTGAAACTCAGGGTAGCTTTCAAGTGGAAAGAAATGCCTTTCCAAACTCAAAAAGCTCCCTGATGGAAATGCTGAAGTGAAGCCCTGGGCTAGGGAGGGTTTTTCTCTCAAGCGGAACGGGGAGGATTTCTCCAAAGCAGAACAATTTCCACGGCTGACGGCAGGCGCCGCACACCTTTGGGCAGCAGCTGGCCCCGAGGGGGCTGTGTGCTGCGGTGTGGGAGACACGGATGGAGGAGAGCAGCTGGAAGAGCCTCGGGCTCCTTGGCATGGGGGCCACGGGGACAGAGCTTGGCACATCCATCCTGCATGCAGAGAGGGCCAGTTCTCCCAAATTTGGGCTATTTACCCTTGTGGAAATCCCGTTTTCCCACTACAGGGAAAGTCAAACATAATTTATCCATCCCTGCTGCTGCAGCCTCTCCAGCCGTGGCCAGGGAGCATTTTGGGAACACCCGCTCGGGGAAACAGCTGCGAGAAATCCCCGGTTTTCCCTTCCTGACCTCCCCGGCCCCATTCCCCAGGACCTGGAGTCATTTAACAGCTTTTAGAAAGAGACGAGTCCCGTAGGGTTTTGGACTCATTTCTCTGGGGAAAGGCAGCACCAGGGGATGGTCTCTCTCCTTTTGTGCTTGAGCCTGGGCTGATTTTGGCAGGTCAAGGCCAGCCAGGCTGGGGACCCTTATCCCTCCCCTGGATCCAAGAACTTTTTGGGGACTGGGGTGAGCCTTGGGGACAGCAGCAGGGGTCTTGCCAACCCCGAGGCTGGCCAGTCTTGGTGACGGCGGGAGCAAAGGCAAAATAAATGTGCAGGGGGAATGTTGACCTCACCCTCATCCCCCAAATTGTGCAGCAGCCTTCGAGAGGGCAACCAAAATAGGGATTTTATTTTTGGGGTTTTAGGAGCTTGCACCCAGCCGTGGTCCTTGGGGAGGGGACGTTTGGCAGGATGAAATATCACCTTAAACCTTTCCCTCCTCTACGCGGCGGCTCGGTGGTGCCGTGGCCTGGGGACGGGGTGGCTGCGGGTGACGCGGAGCCGCACGCAGGCTGGTTGCGTTAGGGGACGGGAAAGCTGACACCGCATTTGGGAAACTCTGTAAGGGGAGACTTCACCGAGGGAAACATCGGGATGGCTGCACCACGGCGGCTGGGAGAGCGCGCTGAGAAGTCAGTCGGGCTTTTCCTGAAATACCGGTGCTGGGGTGTGCAGCCCGCTTCCTCAACTGGATTTCCCCCAGCACACCCAGTGGGAGACACCAGCACGAAGGGCTGCTTCTGTCCTTTGCAGAGAGGATGTGAAAATACCCCATTTACTCCCAAATCTCCCGTCTTTTTACCCAAAGGTGGTGGGAGGCAGGTGGAAGTGGTCACAGGGGTGCTTTTGGGCAGAGATGGTCTGAAAAGCAGATTTTGGAGGTAAGCAACATTGGATTTTGGTCCAAAAGCAAAGATTACAGGGGGATTTCCCCAAG